TGGATGGATGGATGGATGGATGGATGGATGGATGGATGGATGGATGGCCTATCTATACCTCAGATATGAATCTGTCTAGTTAGATTAAGTGATTTAAAAAAAATCACAAAAATGAAACATGATTTCAGTCATTTTAAGAGTAACCAAAATCACTAACTTGAATACTTTAATGTTCCATGTACCATGCAAAATATTGTAATAAACAGTTTACTACTTCTCTTAAATGTTTGGAAGCTCCTAGAAAAAAAAGTTTGGTCTACTAAAAAAAAGCAGATGCCACAACAACAAAAAAATTCTTGTCCCAAATATGCTCATAAAATATTTTCCTGCTGCAAATGAGTTTCACATTTTCCTTCTTTAGGATTCAAAATACCAAGGATTTCTGCACTTGTAAAATAATTACTGAATCTCATCTTTAAATGTAGAATGCATATCAAATACATCAATTCATCTGTGACTGTATCTCTTTGATAATGAACATGGTTTGACATCTTGATAGAACATTGACTGAAATCAGACTGAAACCCAGAATTATTTCTCCCTTAAAGAAACTGGTCCAGATGACTTGATTTAATCTTTTTTGTTATATATTTATTTACATAAGTTTCCTGAGGTTTTAAAATGGCAGATATAAATCATAATTTTACATGCAAACCACACCTACCTTTCGCCCACCTGACATCTTAACCAGTCCAGTGAGTTAAAATGTAAAAAAGGCTTTGCAGAGGCCTCAATAAAGAAGCAAAGGCAACACAAACAACAGCTTTAAGACAAAAACAAAGAGAGAGAAAGAGGGACGAAAACACAATTTAAAGATTAAAATAGAAAATGTAGCTGTCCAGAGTCTTTTTTTCTAAAAATCAAAGCTCAGAAGCAGAGTTGTGGTTCAGTACAGATGTCATTCCACCCATGGTGTAGGCAGCATGTTTCAGGCCACTGACAGACTGCAGGACTGTCTGAGAGTCACCCCCCCCCCCCCCATCCCATCCCACCCCACCCCACCCAACGTAACACAAGTTCAGAGACACATGAGACGACAGGGGGATGGAAGTCAGTGAGGGTTAGATGTTGCACAGACTGAAAAATATTTTCACACAACAGGATTTTGTGTATACAGAAGTTGCTGTTGGTAAAAAGAGACCAGCACCCTCCTCACCCCCCAGCCCCCGAGCCATCTGAAAGACTGAGCGTGACACTTTTGACCTCTCATCCCAAGTTCAACGTCTCTGTTCAACCAAACCAAGCAGAAGCCTTTTTAAAATCTCCTTTATTGAGAAATTTGTTTTCTTCGTTCAGCCAAAGCTCAGACCCGTTTAAGACTTTCATGAGCTTTCTACCACTGTTAACAAAAGCCAAATGGACTGAATCAAAGACGAGGCATTCATCTTCATGAGTGAGTCATGAGAGGATAGAAGGCAGCAAATTTAGCTGCCTAACAGGAAAAAAGTACTTTGTAAGATCCCAAAAGTAACGTGTCCTTTCAAATTCTGAAGGCAGTAAAACAACAAACCAAACAGGCAGTAAGCAGCAGCTCTACAGATGACACGTTTCAGGATCCGTCCAGTCACTGGCTGCCAGGGTGGCACGAAAACTTTCACAATGTCTGACTGCAACTAATTAAAGGTAGGAGGACAAGAAGGAGGCAGGAAGGAAACATACGGTTCATTAAGAGTAAAATCTCTTTGATTTATGTATTTTTTTATGTTTTGTGAGATAAACCACAATAAAGTCCTCGGAAATTTAGAACAGAACACGGAAACAAAGAAGATATAGAACACAAGAGGAAGTGCGTGGGGGGGGGGGTGTCACCCATGCATCATGTTGAACTGTCAATGCTCTCAATAAATAAGTTCAGCTGAGGTCAGAATGGTTCTGTACTTTCTTTCTGTGTACACATACGAGAATGTTTGCAGGAATTTAAAATGTAATCATACTGAGAATAAACTTTATATGTTATGTTG